CAACCACGAGGAGGGCATTCCTGGAATTATGCCCCTCTCTTCTCTGTGACAGGCTGCCGAAGTTGTGCAACTCGGGCCCCTGGAGCTGCTTTTCTTGCTGGAAGACCTCTCCCAGAAGATGGAGAACATGCTGGCACCTTCTATTACCAGGAGGATCCCCTTCCTCAAGGTTGGTGCAGGCAGAAGCATAGGACCTGGGGTTCGTGAATTTGAAAACAGAGCGGTCTTAGTGGTACATAATTTTTCTCTTCCTGGCATTGTGTTTGGGTCACTGGTTAGTTCAGTGGCTGCCCTACTGCCAGACCATGCTTACCTGGCCTTAAAAAGGAACTCTGGAGTCTACCACTGGCATGGTGGTTAAAGCACTAGGATTCACATATGACTGGCCACGGTTCAAGTCCTGGACCTGACGTCCTATAAATCATTCTGGGAGTGTGTGTCTGTGTGTCTTTGTCTGTGTATGCCCAAAGTTCCAAAAGGAAAATGGAGAAGGGATTATGATGTGACCATTTCCCCAGGGGATGATTTCTTACTTTCCCTCTTTTTCTGGTACATGGACACACCCTATGGCAAAAACCTTTTAAAAGCAAATAAGAAAAGCAACTCAGATCCAACTGTTGGCATGTGGTGTGATGGTTAAGGCAGCTGGATCCCACTTGTCCAACTTTATGGTTTGAGTTACAAACCAAGTGGCTTGAGGAACATGCCAGGCACACGTGCATGCATGCCCACAATCCCAAGAGGAGAGTGGAGAAGAGGGGATTGCAACGTAGCCATTCCCCCAGGAGCTGTTTATTTCACTTTCCCTTTATCTCTCTGTTTCTCTCCAGCCCACACACGCACCTTATAGCAAAAGCTAAAAAAAAAGAAAAAGGAGTTCTGAAACAGATGAAACAAAAATGGCACACAAAACATGAAATTTTATTTGTGTGTGTGTGTGTGTATACACACAAAAATAAACAATTTTTTTTTCCTTTGGAGAGATTTATGCTATAGGGCGCGTGCGCTCGCCAGACAGACAGAGAGACAGAAAGCAAGAAATCACCCCCCAGGGGGGATGGTCACGCCGCAATCCCTTCTCCTCCATTCTCCTCTCAGGATCTTGGGCACGCACGCACACGCACCCTGTGTGAATTTAAGCCACCAGGTCCAGGGCTCAAACCGCGGTCGACTACGTGGGAGTTCAGCAACATAGCCATTACACTAACTGCTGGTCCCATAAACAATTTGTTTTTCTATTTTTTGCTATAGGGCATGTGCACTCGCCAGAAAGACAGAGAGAGACAGAGAAGGCAGAAGTCACTCACCAGAGGAGTTGGCCACACTACAATCCCTTCTCCATTCTCCTCTTGGGATTTTGGGCACACATGAACATACACCTGGGATGAGTTTCAAGCCTTCTGATCTGGGACTCAAAGTAACGGTTGGCCACTTGGGAGTGTAGTTCCTTAATCACTATGCCATCTGCAGGCCCAAGAAATATATTTCTCAATGTTCTGAACATCTGTTCTTTGGTCAGGTTTCGGTTTTAACAGCCCCTAAACTAAGCCTGTGTCCAAGCCTCAGGATAGTAATTGACTGGCTGTAGAGGCTAGAACTTGAGTGCTTGTACAATGAATAAATGTACATGTGGCACCTGGGGACTCATTGGATGGTACAGTCCACAGACTGTGGAAGTATTGGTGATGATGTGTAAACGTGGGGCCAGCCAGTGGCGTGGATAAGATAGCAGGATCTCTCAAGGCCAACTGCACAACACAAGTCCTGGACCTAGTGGCTTGAAAAACACCAAGCGTGCGTGTATGTGTACATGCCCACAATCCTGATAGGAGAATGCGGGAGAGAGCACTGTGGCCCAGCCAACTCCCCTGGGAGGGTGCTTTCTCACTTTCCTTCTCTCTCCCCCCTCTGTCTCTCTCTAATAAGCACATGCACCAATTTTTTTAAAAAAAAATTTTAAATATGAATAAATTCAGTTACTTGGTTTTATTCTTCTTTGTGCTCAGCTATTTGCTCTACGTTCTTGTTAACCTAAATGATTTTCTACTTTTGTGTGAGCTTTTATCTCATTAGTTCTGATGGGGTTCTATACTTTCTTTTTTTTTTTTTTTTTTGGAGAGATTTTCACTGTAGGGCGCGTGCGCTCGCCAGACAGACAGAGAGAGACATAGAGACAGAAAGCGAGAAATCACCCCCCAGGGGGGATGGTCACGCCGCAATCCCTTCTCCTCCATTCTCCTCTCGGGATCTTGGGCACGCACGCACACGCGCCCGGCGTGAGTTTTAAGCCACCGGGTCCGGGACACGAACCGCGGTCGACTACGTGGGAGTCCAGCGACATAGCCTATTACGCTAACTGCTGGTTCCCGGGTTCTATACTTTCAATCAACCACTATTTTTACTCTGCAAAAGTCAGTCTTTCTGTTAATTGACGATGGTCCCAAATTTTTATCTCTGGAAGTCTTAGGTGAGCAACTCATTTCTCCCATCCACTCCTACTCAGTCACAGAGGGATGACTGAGTTCCATAATGAACTGTTAATTTCAGAAAAGCTGCCCAGCAGTTTTTCTCCGTAACTCTGAATTTATTCTAGAATAAAGGAAGCCGGAATGTCGGATTCTCACATCTTCATCAGAGATCTGCCCAAGAACTTGCTCGTTGTGTTGTTCAGCTGCTGACCCCAATGTGTAACCACCTGGAGAACATTCACAACTATTTTCAGGTCAGAAGACTAGCTTATCATTTCAGAGACTTAGAAGCCACTAAGTCAACATGAGATTTCATTTTGGATTGAGGAAAAAAAATGAAGGAAAATGAAGACAATTTGCTAAAACAAGTGTCCTAAAATCATGTTCTGCTTTAGTGCTTAACTCCTGAGAGTGACGGTGTGGTTGACGGCCCAGCAGTGAACGATCAGGAGTACCACGTAATGTCTTCCTGCTATCAGAGGCTCCTGCAGGTCTTCCACGGGCTCTTTGCTTGGTGAGTATGCGGGAAGCAGGCTCAGGAGAGAGACATGAGTATGCGTTTACTTTTACTTGCCAGTCAATCACCAGGACACTAAGAGATAGGAAAGAAAGGGAAGGCCCTAAACCCTTATGTAAATATGGTTCTTTATTCTCTTTGGAGTGTTTGGTATCATGGTATCATTTCATTTGTTCCTACACTGAGTCTTAACGGAATCACTGTTGATAGCCCATTTGACAAAGTCGGTGACTTGCCAGTTAGCTAACTTATAATAAATGAGGCCCTTTGATTCTTAGCCCAGTTTCCTATAGCAAGCTTTCTATAGCACTGGGGACTGTTACTTAAAAAGATGTTATTAGATGGCATGGTGGTTAAGGGTGGCTGACCGCTGTTCGAGTCCTGGACCTGACAGCTTGTTTTCTCACTCCCCCCCCACACCCTCCCCTCTCTGTCCCTCTCTGGTCAAATTAAAAATAAATAAATAAATAAAGTTAAATAAAATAATTCTTTAAAAAAAAGTTGTTATTAAGGGATTGGGAATAGCAGGAGATATGGTGGTTAAGGCACGTGGACTCCCACATGGTTGACCATGGTTCAAGTCCTGGACCTGGCAGCTTGCTTTCTCATCTTCCTTCTCTCTGTCTGTCTCTGGTCAACTTCAATGAAATAAAAATATAAAATAATGACAGTGGGGGCTAGCAGCTGGCGTGGTGGTTAAGTCACTGGACACTCCTACATGGCCAACCATGGTTCGAGTCCTGGATTTGGTGGCTTTGTTTCTCACTTTCTCTCTCTCTCTCTCTCTCTCTCTCTCTCTGGTCAAATTAAAATGAATGAATGAATCCATAAAATTAAATAAGTTATTCTTTAAAAAATAATGATGAATAAAATAATTTTTTTAAAAAATAAAGTTGTTATTAAGGGACCAGCATATGGCATAATGGTTACATCGCTGGACTCCCAGGTAGTCAACCACAATTTGAGTTCCAGACCTGGCAGCTTAAAACTCACTCCAGGTGAGCGTATGTGCCTGCCCAAAGTCCCAAAAGGAGGACTTTGGATTGAGGGGAAGGGATTGCGGCATGGCCATCACCTATGGAGAGTGATTTCTCACTTTCTGTCTGTCTCTCCAGCAAGTGCTACACCCTATAGCAAAAAAAAATAATAATAAAAAATAAAAATCTCTGGAAAATAAAAAGTTGTTATTAAATAAGTTGTAAATAATTCCAGAATGTATGGTAAAGCGGTGAACACAGTGTGAGCTGGGGTACTTTGGGACACCTTCATGGAAGCAGTAGGACTTGATCAAGCCCTTGAAGGGTAGAGGAAGGCATTGGAAGGCATAGCATGAATAAATGAGGGAAGTCTCCCCCAAGTACTTTGGTCCCTCAGGGCTAGGCCCTGGCTCCTCTGTTCTCAATGGTCAGGTTTCCTGAGCAACCTTTAACCAAGCCTAAATTTATGCTAAAGGCCAACCTGTGACCTGGTAGTTAAGGGAGCTACATCCCACATGGCTGATCCCCCATGATTAGTGTCCTGGACCTGGTAGCTTGAAAAACACTAGGGGGCCAGCAGGTGGTGTGGGTTAGGGGCGCTGGATTCCCACATGGCAGTTCGAGTCCTGGACCTGGTGGCTTGCTTGCTTTCTTTTCCTTTCTCACTCTGTCTTTCTCTAGTCAAATTAAAAAATAATAACAAATAAAATTAAATAAATAAATTTATAAAATAAAAAGAAAGAAAAACACACTGAGTAGATGTGAATGTGTACCCAAACTCCTGAAACGAGGGAGAAATGGAGGAGAAGGGATTATGGCGTGACTATACCCCATGGTGGTGAGTGCTTTCTTCTCCCCTCCCCCATGAACACGCACACGGTCTGGAAATTTAAAAAATATATATATGCCAAAATTTGTTTTCTGAGCTATAGACATTTATATCCAGCTGCCTACTCAACACCCCCACAGATGTGTCATTGACACCTCAGACTCTTCACATCCAGGATGGAGCATGTGTCATCCTTGCCACCTCTCCTTCAGCTAGCTCTGCCTGGCTCAGTAAATGGCACCACCAGCTGCGCAAGCCAGAAACCAGGAGTTGTTTGTTCCTCCCTCTGCTCCCCGCCCTTCCTCCCACAGCTGATCCCCAAATTGTGTTGATTTTATCTTCTCGATAAGATGGAACCATCTGTCCCTCTCTGCTCTGCTCCCAGATTCCCAGTCGGTCTGCCTCCACTTGTCCTCCCTCAGCCCATTCTTCTCAGAGCAGTTGAGTGACTATCCCACGTCAAACCCACCTTGAGTTCAGACTCTTTTATTCATTTATGTTTTAGTCATCGCCAGAGGGTGCACGCACTCCAGAGACAGAGGAAGATGAAGGAAATACCCCTGTGGGGCACAGTCACACAACCTCTTCTCCTCTTCTTTATCTTGCCAGGATTTGGGACATGCATGCATATTGCCTGGCGTGTTTCTCAAGCTGCCAGGGCCAATGCTTGAACCACACATTTGGCCACGTAGGATCCAGCTCCCTTAACCGCCAGGACACAGGGCTAGCCCAGGGTTCACACTTTCTTGCTTGGGTTCTGAGGCCTACTGTCTGACACCTGCTATTTCGGTACTGTCTTGCACTTTGCCTCCAGCCGTACGGAGTGAATTTGAGCACCCTCATAGCCTTCACCCGGAAGGCTTCACACATACTCATCCACCTACCAGGGCCCCAGCCCTGCTTGATCGCCAGCCTTTTATGACTTCTTTAATTTCTTGAGATACGTCTTTCTTAGAGAGGTAGCTTCTCTTGCCTTCCCCTTAGGCCAGTTAAGCCTCCTTTTTGCCTCCCTGATTCCTGGTTCTCTCCTAGCACTCTGGCAACCTTTTAAGATAAAACACCACTTTTTTTTTTTTTTTTTTTTTTTTTTTTTTTTAGAGGGTGTCTTCAGTGGGGGAATAGGCAGACAGAGAGAGAGAGACAGAAAGCGAGAAATCACCCCCCAGGGGGGATGGTCACGCCGCTATCCCTTCTCCATTCTCCTCTCGGGATCTTGGGCACGCACGCACACACACCCAGCGTGAGTTTCAAGCCACCGGGTCTGGGACGTGAACCGCGGTCAACCACGTGGGAGTCCAGCGACATAGCCATTACAATAACTGCTGGTTCCCACCACTTTTTTAAAAAATAATTATTTTATTTAACTTTATTTAGTTATTTTAATTGACCAGAGGGGCAGAATGAGAAAACGAGAGAGGGAAAGTGAGAAAGTAAGCCACCAGGTTTGGGATTTGAACCATGGTCAGCCATATGGAAGTCCAATGCCCTTAATCACTGTGCCACCTGCTGGCCCCAAAACATCACATTTTTTTATAATCACTTGTTCATCTGTCTTCCTTACTAGACTGTGAGTTCCAGGAAAGCAAGTATCATTTCATATCCTCAGTGCTTAAAGGCACTGCCTGACAATAGATTTGAGCAGTTTATCAAGGAAATTTGTAGATGGAAAGGATGTTCAAGGAAAGGCAAGTTAGCAGCACAGTGAGATAGCACAACACACTCACTAGCATGGCTAAATTAACAAGACTTACTATGTCAGTGTTGGCGAGAACATAAAGCCCTGAACTTTCACATGCTGCTGGAGGGACTGGAAAATGGTACAGCCACTTTGGGGGAAAGGTTTGGTAGTTTCTTACAAAGTTAGCCATACACCTACCATATGACTTAGCCGTTCCACCCCGGGGTGGCTACCCAAGAGAAGGGATTTGAACCAAAGCGTATGTCCACATATATTTATAGCAGTCTCATTTGAATAGTCATACTGGAAATAACGCACATGGCCATCAGCCAGTGGACAAGTAGACAAATATTGTGGTCACAGAAAACAAATCAGGGGTTGCCTAGCGTCAGAGAGGATGGAGGGAGAGGGAGATGGCCAGGGAGCACAAGTACATCTCTAAAACTGCTGGGGAAGAATTCTGGCACCTAATAGAACTTCAGAATACATTTCTTGAAAAGAGGGATGACTACTGCTGGCGTGTAGATGTTTCCAGAGGAGGACAAGGTCTTAGATTTTGCTGGACATTGCAGGTCGGGCAGAATTGATTTTTCTTTTTTTTTAAGAGATTTTTGCTAGAGTGTGTGTGTGTGTGTGTGTGTGTGTGTACACCAGAGAGACAGAAAGTGAGAAATCACCCTCCAGGGAGGAAGACCACAGTGCAGTCCCTTCTCCATTCTCCTTTCGGGATCTTGGGCATGCACGCACGCACACACACCCCGCATGAGTTTTAAGTGGCCAGGTCTGGGATTCAAACCATGGCCAATTATTTCAGAGTCCAGCAACATAACTGTTACACCACCTGCCAGCCCCCCTCAAACAGAATTTAAATGTTGTCCAGGGAAGCAGTTTGAGAGTTTTGATATCATGACATAATGAAAGCAGGGGTTTGGGAAAATCCTTTTGGCAGCAGTGCACAGAAGAGATTGGAGAGGGATGCCGACAGACCAGTCAAAAGGTGCCCTGGTCTGTGCACGTGGTGTTGGTCGTAGCTGGGACAGGAAGGGGAACTCTGAGGATAATCCTAAGGCAGGGTGAAACGTACTGTGGAAGAAGAGATGTTTCTTAGCAAGCACCTCCTAACTATGGACAAGTCATTGAGTAGCAATTGGACAGAATTATTCCTGTGTTTTTGGAGAAGACTGAGACCTACCTATAAAATGTTGAGATTGAAGAAGAGCATTTTCCCCTCTTTGGAAACAAACCTGTGAGGACTTAGGGA